TTCTGGGAGTTTTAAAAAATGTGATCCCCCCCCCCCCCAAGCTTTGCTTTTTCCTGCTTGTATAAGTGCATTATTCTTACAATTGTAATGAAGGCGGAAGACATTGCTTGTAGGGTAGAAAGTACAATGTATTGAGGTTCAGTATTAGGAATTTCCAGCTCAAAGGATCTCAGGAACAGAGAAAGACTCTGAAGATCTCTTTCTGTCAACCTCCTCATCTTCATCATCCTGCCTTTTTCTCTGTTTCGAACTCGAGGCCTCTTCCAACCATTAAACCGAGTTGGCGTACAAAAGTGGGAAAGTAATTAAACAATCCAATCCAGTCAATTAATCAATCAATCCAGTTAAAACATTTGTTGCTATTGTTGTGTGCCTTGAAGTCGTTTCTTGCTTGTGGCAACCCTAAGGGTTTTTCCGGGGCTGAGAGTATGTGACTTGCCCAAGGTTCCCGCAGTGGGTTTCCATGGCTGAGTGGGGACTCGAACTCTGATCTCCAGAGTTGTAGTTGTTTCTGATTCTTGGTGACCCTCCGGGGCTTTTTGGAGGCCAGGATCTTGTCCATGGAAAACCCATGAGTGGGTGACCTTGGGCAAGTTACACTCTCTCAGCCTCGGGGTGGCAAGGGCAACCCCCCCTCTGGAGAAACTTGCCAAGGAAACCCCATGATAAGGTTGCCATAAGTCGGTACATGACTTGAAGGCGCACAACAACAACGCAACAACAACAACAACAACAGTTGGGCGAATCGGGACAGGTGCCCATTTCTGCTTTTGTGATTCAGTGCAGAGGAACTGCGCAGTGTTGGACTGTGACTCCGGAGACCAGGGTTCGAATCCCGGCTTGGCCATGGAAACCCACCTTGGACAAGTCACACGCTCTCAGCCTCGGGACGGCAAGGACCAACCTGTGAACAAGTCTCAGCCAAATTCGTTCGCAGAGAGTTGGGTCCATTTTGCGCCTCGGATTGCGCATTTTCGGTTAAGAAAGCGCAAAACTGGAGGCAGATTGACATCTTTGCCCGCCTGGATGGCTGGAAGTTTGGAGGCAGTGTTCGTGTTAGCAGTTTCTCGGTAATGTGGCTTTAATAATGTGGCTTTTTTTCCCATTTAAGAGAATGGAACTTTTCCATCCTCCCACCCACGACGCTGCTGTCGCCGTCTCCGTTTTTTTGGGGGGATACAATGCTGCTATTGTTCCGAAACAAAATGCTTGCGTTTGGAGGCTGGTGCGATGGGTGTACTCTCCGAATTCATAAAATATATGGGGTGTGTATTTATATTTAGTATAGAGCCAGTGTGGTGTAATGGTTTGAGCACTGGAGACCTGGGTTCGAATGCCTATTCGGCCATGGAAACCCACTGGGTGACTACACTCTCTCAGCCTCAGAGAGAGGGAAAAGTTTGGTATATAGGAGCCAGTCTTGTGGAAGTGATCCAAGTGCTGGACTCTGAGAGACCAGGATTCAAATTCCCAACCAGCCGTGGGAAACCGCTGGGTGACCTTGGAGAAGTCACACCCTCTCAGCCTCAGAGGAAGTCCGTCTTGCCAAGAAAATGACATAGGGTTGCCGTAAGATAAAAACTACTTGAAAGCACACAACAACAACAACATGATTGTGTAGTGGTTTATGTGTTGGACTCTGGGAGACCAGGATTCAAATCCCAACCAGCCATAGAAAGCTACTGGGTGACCTTGGGCAAGTCACACTCTCTCAGCCTCAGGGGAAGACCATGGCAAACCCCCTCTGAATGAATCTTGCCAATGAGAGGAAGTATGACGCAGTGGTTTGAGTGTTGGATTGGGGCTCTGGAAGACCAGGGTTCAAAACTCTGCTGTGCTGTGGAAGCCCACAGGGTGACCTTGGGTGAGTCACACTCTCTCAGCCTCACAGGAGGGCAGTGGCAAAGCCAAGAAAAACCCCAGGATAGGGTCGCTCACCGTAAGTCAAAAATGACTTGGGAGGCACACAACGAGATGTTAGGACCCTAACTCCCAGAACTCTGGATCGTTGGTTACCCGGTTTGGGGCTGATGGGAGTTGTAGGGCAAAGCCTCGGGAAGGGACCAGGCTTCAGGAGAAATAAGGTGCTAAATCTAAAGTTTTGGAGGAGATCACTATCGGGCTGGAATAAAATGCATTTTCGTGACACGCTCGGCAAGTTTTATTGCACTTTGAACGGAAATAGTTTTGCAGCCAGAGTACATAACTTAGAAAGAGTTTGGAGAAGAGGTGGACTTTGCAGAAACCCCGATAATAAAAATCAGAAAAACTTTTAGGAACAGATTTTGTTTCAAAACGAGTTTGCTTTAATTAAGATATATATATATATATCCCGTAACATTATCATAGTTTTGGGAAGGAATGATTAGCAAGAGATGGAAAATGTCTATTTGTGAATTAGCTGGTTCTACCAACTTGGCCATATCAACCCACTAGGTGACCTTGGGCAAGTCACACTCTCTCAGCCTCAGGGGAAGGCAAGGGCAAGCCTCCTCTGAAGGCCCTTTGCCAAGAAAATTTGATTTGACTTGAAGGCACACAACAACAATTGTGATGCTGTTGTTACGCATCAGGTTTCACAGGCTGACCTATAAAGATGTGTCTGCATTGCAGAAATGATTCAGTTTGACACCGCTTTAACTGCCATGGCTCAGTTCTGGGATTTGTAGTGTTGTGAGGCATATGGCCTCCTTTGCCAGAGAGCTCTGGTGTCTGACCAAACTACAAATCCCAGGGTCCTACAACATTGAGCCACGGCAGTTAAAGAGGTGTTAAGCTGCATTATTTCTGCAGTGCAGATGCAGCCCAGATGTCTATTCTAAGGAAATTAATTAATGCAGTTTGACACTGCTTTGACTGCCATGGCTCCATCCTGTGGAATCCTGGGACCTGTAGTTTTCCCAGGGACTCGGGACTTTGTAGCGCACTTCCCTGGGCACTCAAGCAGACGATTCGAAGGCTGTTGCCACAGTGTAGGTAGGATGAATGCAATTTGAGACTGTTTTAACTGCTTTGGCTCCGTGCTATAGAATCCTGGGATTTGTAGTTTGCTGTAGCACCTGGGCTCTGTGACAGAGAAGGCTGAGTAGCTTCCAAAAGTACAAATCCCAGGATTTTGTAACATGGAGCCAGGGCAATCAAAACAGTTTCGAAGTGCATTAATTTTGCAGTGTAGATGCAGCTTCAGTCATGATGCACGGCCGAATGGGGTTGGACTGGATGACCCTTAGGGTCTCCTCCAACTCTTTTGGTTTAAAAGTAAATCGGAGTTCCTTGGATTTCTTTGCATTTCGTCCCTGAAGTGCTCCGACCAAGAGGCTGATGCCACCCAGCGCTTCTCATCTGGCTTTCTTTTCTCCTCTCCTTTGTGTTCTCAAGGAGAAAAGGCCGGAGGGAATCCAAGAAAGTGGGGCACAGGATCTGTCTGCAAGGTTTGGAAGTGGGTCAGGTCAAGTCGGCCAGATGTGGCTCAGAAACCCAGGGCAGGGCTTTGAGTTCGAACCTTGCACATTTCTCGACAAGGATTTCCCCCTTCTATCCCAATTCCACACAAAACAGGGATACCTTTATGGGGCCAACCGAAATGCACAAAATACACAATGCAAGCTTTCAGAGCTCCATTGGCTTCTTCATCTGATCCCATTATTGACCAACCGAAATGCACAAAATACACAATGCAAGCTTTCAGAGCTCCATT